GCAGTATACTGTGTCTTCGGTTTTGGGAGTGGCATCAGTTCACATACAGGATCATCAAGTCAATTATTGGCATGACCTGGGTCCCCACTCCCTGCTCTTGCTCTGAAGGTGACGCTCCAAATTTCCCTGCCTCGAGTACAAATTGAGATGCTGCTTCTGGCAGGGGCACCCAGCACTGGATCTCTCTGGAGCCCTCCCTGTCCTGGACTTTTTAGGTCCTCAGCTCTCATTCAGACACCTCACCTGGTCTCCAAGTAGGGCCTCAAGCCCCCCTTTCTGCTGTTGGCTTTCCCTTCATCACCTGTCCATTTCAGGGTGTGTCCTCCCTCAGTTTCCCTGCTTGGCACTGCTAGAGCCAGGGTCTCCTCTGTGTCGTTGTTTGTGGCCTATCACACTGAGGTCAGCACCCACCCGATATCCAGAGGAGGAATTGACTTTGGCGTTGTCTAGCTGCATTTGCCTGTTTCCTACCAGAGGAGTGATGTACCAATCAAATGGAGGGCCCCTTGGGAAAGCTGACACAAGGTGTGACCTCAGTGCTGCTTGACCCCCTACATGTGTATCTGCCATTACTCCCTCTGCTGTGTTGGGATCTCAGTTCTGAGGGGAAAGCCGTCCCCTCCCTGATCCTTGAGCATAAATTAAGGGGCACTTCTGCCTGACTAATGCCTGGGTCTCCTTGAATGGCAGTAGTTGGGGATGCTGAGGTGTCCTCCATGTTATGGGGTCACTGTTCCCCACAGTGATCATGCCCCTCACCCCGAGTCTGCCCATCACTTGGACATCCTCCCTCTGCTGACCTGCTGCCAGCCCCTCACATCAAGAACTCATTTCCTCCACTCTCCCGAGGACAAAAGGAGGAAGCACGCTGGTCTTTAAACTTGCCCACACCTTCCAAGGCCAATGTCAGGACAAGGGCTATGCATGACCCGGTTCTGGGATGTGGGGTGCCCTCCTTACTAACCNCTTGCCCACACCTTCCAAGGCCAATGTCAGGACAAGGGCTATGCATGACCAGGTTCTGGGATGTGCAGTGCCCTCCTAACTGACCATNAGGACAAGGGCTATGCATGACCCGGTTCTGGGATGTGGGGTGCCCTCCTTACTAACCAGGGTCTCCTCTTTCCCTCTAGAGGACCTGTTCTGGGGTGTGGGGTGCCCTCCTGACCATGGTCCCCCCTTTCCCTCTAGAGGACCCATTTTGGAGAGTGGGGTGCACTCCTTACTCACCAGGGTCTCATCTTTCCCTTTAGAGGACCCATTCTGGGTTGTGGGGTGCCCTCCTTACTCATCACGGTCTCCTCTTTCCCTGTACAGGACCCATTCTGAGGTGTTTGGTGTGCTCTTCACTGACCAGGGTCCCCTCTTTCCCTCTAGAGGACCCGTCCTGGGGTGTGGGGTGCCCTCCTTACTGACCAGGGTCCGCTCTTTCCCTCTAGAGGACCCGTTTTGAGGTGTGAGTTGCCTCCCTACTCACCAGGGTTTCGTCTTCCCCCTCTAGAGTACCTGTTCTGGGGTTTTGGGGTGCACTCTTTCNGGCCAATGTCAGGACAAGGGCTATGCATGACCCGGTTCTGGGATGTGGGGTGCCCTCCTTACTAACCAGGGTCTCCTCTTTCCCTCTAGAGGACCTGTTCTGGGGTGTGGGGTGCCCTCCTGACCACGGTCCCCCCTTTCCCTCTAGAGGACCCATTTTGGAGAGTGGGGTGCACTCTTTACTCACCAGGGTCTCATCTTTCCCTTTAGAGGACACGTTCTGGATTGTGTGGTGCCCCCCTATTCACCAGGGTCTCCTCTTTCCCTTTAGAGAACCCATTCTGGATTGTGGCATGCCCTCCTTACTGACCAGGGTCTCCTCTTTCCCGTTNCTCACCAGGGTCTCCTTTTTCCCTCTAAAGTACCTTTTCTGGGTTGTGGGGTGCCCTCCTTACTCGTCAGGGTCTCCTCTTTGCCTGTAGAAGACCCATTCTGAGGTGTGGCGTGCCCTCCTTACTGACCAGGGTCCCTTCTTTCCCTCTAGAGGACCCGTTCTGGGGTGTGGGTTGCTCTCCTTACTGATGAGGGTCTCCTCTTTCCCTCTAGAGGACCTGTTCTGGGGTGTGGGGTGCCCTCCTTACTGACCAGGGTTTTGTGTTTCCCTCTAGAGGACCTGTTTTGGGATTTGGAGTGCCCTCTTTCCTCACCAGAGTCTCCTCTTTCCCTTTAGAGAACCCATTCTGGATTGTGGGGTGCCCTCTTTCCTCACCAGGGTCTCCTCTTTCCCGTTAGAGGACCCGTTCTGGATTGTGGGGTGCCCTCCTTACTCATCACGGTCTCCTCTTTGCCTGTAGAAGACCCGTTCTGAGGTGTGGAGTGCCCTTCTTACTCACCAGCATCTCCTCTTTCCCTCTAGNTTACTCATCACGGTCTCCTCTTTGCCTGTAGAAGACCCGTTCTGAGGTGTGGAGTGCCCTTCTTACTCACCAGGATCTCCTCTTTCCCTCTAGAGGACCCATTCTGAGGTGTTTGGTGTGGTCTTCACTGACCAGGGTCTCCTCTTTCCCTCTAGAGGACCTGTTCTGGGGTGTGGGGTGCCCTCCTTACTGACCAGGGTTTTGTGTTTCCCTCTAGAGGACCTGTTTTGGGATTTGGAGTGCCCTCTTTCCTCACCAGGGTCTCCTCTTTCCCTTTAGAGAACCCATTCTGGATTGTGGGGTGCCCTCTTTCCTCACCAGGGTCTCCTCTTTCCCTTTAGAGGACCCGTTCTGGATTGTGGGGTGCCCTCCTTACTCATCACGGTCTCCTCTTTGCCTGTAGAAGACCCGTTCTGAGGTGTGGAGTGCCCTTCTTACTCACCAGCATCTCCTCTTTCCCTCTAGAGGACCCATTCTGAGGTGTTTGGTGTGCTCTTCACTGACCAGGGTCTCCTCTTTCCCTCTAGAGGACCCGTCCTGGGGTGTGGGGTGCCCTCCTTACTGACCAGGGTCCGNCTCACCAGGGTCTCCTTTTTCCCTCTAAAGTACCTTTTCTGGGTTGTGGGGTGCCCTCCTTACTCGTCAGGGTCTCCTCTTTGCCTGTAGAAGACCCATTCTGAGGTGTGGCGTGCCCTCCTTACTGACCAGGGTCCCTTCTTTCCCTCTAGAGGACCCGTTCTGGGGTGTGGGTTGCTCTCCTTACTGATGAGGGTCTCCTCTTTCCCTCTAGAGGACCTGTTCTGGGGTGTGGGGTGCCTTCCTTACTGACCAGGGTTTTGTGTTTCNGAGTCGTCCGGCCTCAGACCAAGGCTCTCATTTCCCTCAGAACCCCAGGAGGAAGTCTTTGGGCGCCTGAGCTTAGCAGCCACGCCTGGGGCCTCCCAAGGCTGACATTAATGGGGTCCCCTCCCCCCGCTCAATCCTCTCTCAGTGCCTTCCTTCACTCCTTGTGCAGCTGAGTTACCTCCTCTCTGCTGACCTGAGGCCAACCCCTCCCATGAATGACCTCAACTCCCTGAGACTCCTGATCCTGGTGCAGGTACATCTCATGTGGCCACTCCTGGCTGAGGCCTCCCACACATGTCTGCAGGGCGTGAGGATCCAATGGGTTCCATCGTGCTGGGGGAGGCAACTTGCCTTACTTCTAGCAGGCCCTGGAGTCCTCCTTTTCCAAAAGAAAGGCTTCCTTTCCTGACAAAGATCCTCAAGAACCCTGGGCAAGGGGGAGTGCTCCTTAGCCTCACAGCTCAGCCTGGGACCTCTCTTAGCTGACATCAGTATCATTGCTCAAGTTTTCTAAAATCAATTTTTTTCTTTATGTTCAAGTACTCTTTTTCTTGCTATTCGATTTCAACATTTTTATATTTTTAACAAAGTTATTTATATGAGGTATAAAATGTGATATTTTGATATACGAATACATTTGAGATGATTACTGCAATCCATTATTTAGCATATCACCTGCCATAGTTACCATTTTTTTGTGTGTTATCAGAAATCCTGCCATTGTCAACAATTTGAATGAACCTAGGGTGATATTGTGCTACATTAAATAAGCCAGTACAGAGAGGCAAATATCACATGATCTCTTATATGTGGAATCTAAAAAAAAATTCAAGTTTATAGTAACAGAATATTTGTTACCAGAGGCTGTGGGTGGGAGAAGGTAGCTGAAGTAAATGGGGAGATATTCATCAAAGGACGCAAACTTTCTGTTAGAATATGAATAAACCTGAAAACATACTGCACACCATGGTGACAGTGGTTAATAATAAAGTATTATATACTTGAAACTTGCTAAAACAGTAGATCTCAAGTATTCTCTTTATTCTATTTTCATTCAGGTCCTATATTTTATTAAGAGGGGTATTTTAAAAAGCCTGGTCCTCACCAACAAAAGAAGTTTCAGATGGTCATTAAGACCATCTTCGTACTCATATTACCTCAACAGGGCCTGGACTTTGGTGCTGTCCTGATATTACCCCAATGGTCCTGGTAGGTGGGCTC